AGTGTGTATTCTCTCTAAAGTCATTCCAAAAGCATTTGGTGTTGTGTGAAGCATTTGAGGCATCACACTTGGGGTGCTAGGCTCACAAGGTTTCAAGGATCATAAGCAACAACAAGGTAAGTTATTCTATCTTTCATGCAAGTTAAAATTTGTTCCCCATGTATGCTAGATAGGAATATAACCTTGGAATTCAACTTTGCATGATAATTAGAAAAACATAGATCCAAGGTTATTAGGGTTGCATGTACACTTAGGAAGTGTTAAAATGCTCAATATCCATCACAACCCACTCTGCATCCATATCAATGTTATCATTGAAATATCAGTCATGTCAACTTCTACATCATCTAAGATGTTGTCATTGTCAACATAAAAGTCTATGTCATCGGACTCACTGGATTCATAACCACTATCATCCCCAATTTTTTCCCCACTTCCAAATTCATCTTCATTATGTCCTCAAATTTGTCCCCACTTTCAAATTCAGCCCATGGATCTTCTCCATCCTTGTTACCATCCCCAAATTCAACTTCATTTGTGTGCTCAAATTTGTCCCCATTTCAAATTCAGCACATGGATTTTCTTCCTTGTTATTATCCCCATTATCAATAACAGTTAAGTCCATATTGTCATTTCCAGTGAGGTCCACTACATTAGCCTCTTTAGAAGCATCCCCCAACATTTTTCCCCCCAGTATCATACCAATCTAAGAAAAGTCTACGAGAACATGTTGGAGGTTCAATAATTTCCTTTATTTGAATTTTGATTGATTTGGGGACATTGTGTATGTATGTAATTGGGTTTTTCCATGCTCAATATAGACTTCAATCAACTTATGCTTGGAAATGAAGGTACCCAGATGTCTCACATCCTGGTCACTAACCAAAGCAAATAACTCGAAATTTAAATCTGAAAAAGGTCGTTTAAAGTGATAGTACAAAGGTATACCTTCATCAACATAGCCTAACTGTTCCATCATTTCATTAATGTCATGCACTGAGAAAGTATCCATGTCGAGTAAATCCATATACGTTTGTTTTCCTTTGATGTACTTTCTTTCCAGGAAATTTGGTGAACTCTCCACCATGGTACAAGCTAATGGAAAAGATTGTCGGATGCCCCCCTGTGAAATAACCCACTTCAGCTTAGATTTCAACAAAATCGAAGTTATAGAAGATTAAGAGTGAAAGAATACTTACAGTAACGACGTCCAACATCAATTTCCTCCATATTTGCACGTATACGCCACAACACCATTGCGTTTCAGAGACGAAGATATCACGATTAGGGTTTTCTTATCTTGACTGTGAAATTTTTGTCTGGGTTTTCTTAACGGAAAGATGAAGTACTGAGAAAATGATCGTCTCTTCGTATACAACATGGCGGTAACTCAAGAATATTAAAAAGACAAAAATGCCCCTGTGTGCCTTGCACGTGGGGTGTTTTAACGGAGCAACTAGACGGAATGTTAAGTGAGGGACCAGGCGGGCTACGAATTTTAACATTAGGGATCATCCGAGTTAAAAATCTTGTTCAGGGACTAGGCGCGCAGGTTACCCCAAACCACAGGGACCATCCGTGCAATTTACCCTTTAAAGAATGTAAGATTTTACGCACAACACAGTTTAATTTTTGTTCATTTCATATAGCGTGTTTTCCGTATCATCCCTAATAAATAAAGAACTTTTTGCCACTTATCACATTCTCATTGATTTGGCCACATGTCATTTTGTGGTTATTTTCAATTAAATTTTTTCCACATGGCATTTGTGGTTGTTTCATTTTTATTAAATGTATTAATTGCAATAAATATAAGAATAAAGGCATCATTTCAATTCATTAATTGACTTTATTTTAATTTCAAAATTTCTAAATTAAAGTCCATTAGTAATTTAATAATTTAATATTTTTCTATTTTTTTTATAAATTCAACTTCTCAAATATTTGTAATATTATAAATTTTTTAAATGAACTCATGGGTCCAATACATTAGCCTCTTTAGAAGCATCCCCAACAACATTTTTCCCCCCAGTATCATACCAATCTAAGAAAAGTCTACGAGAACATGTTGGAGGTTCAATAATTTCCTTTATTTGAATTTTTGATTGATTTGGGGACATTGTGTACGTATGTAATTGAGTTTTTCCATGCTCAATATAGACTTCAATCAACTTATGCTTGGAAATGAAGGTACCCAGATGTCTCACATCCTGGTCACTACCCAAAGCAAATAACTCGAAATCTAAATCTGAAAATGGTCGTTTAAAGTGATAGTACAAAGGTATACCTTCATCAACATAGCCTAACTGTTCATCATTTCATTATGTCATGCACTGAGAAAGTATCCATGTCGAGTAAATCCATATACGTTTGTTTTCCTTTGATGTACTTTCTTTCCAGGAAATTTGGTGAACTCTCCACCATGGTACAAGCTAATGGAAAAGATTGTCGGATGCCCCTGTGAAATAACCCACTTCAGCTTAGATTTCAACAAAAATCGAAGTTATAGAAGATTAAGAGTGAAAGAATACTTACAGTAACGACGTCCAACATCAATTTCCTCCATATTTGCACGTATACGTCACAACATCATTGCGTTTCAGAGACAAAGATATCACGATTAGGGTTTTCTTATCTTGACTGTGAAATTTTTGTCTGGGTTTTCTTAACGGAAAGATGAAGTACTGAGAAAATGATCGTCTCTTCGTATACAACATGGCGGTAACTCAAGAATATTAAAAGACAAAAATGCCCCTGTGTGCCTTGCACGTGGGGTGTTTTAACGAAGCAACTAGACGGAATGTTAAGTGAGGGACCAGGCGGGCTACGAATTTTAACATTAGGGATCATCCGAGTTAAAAATCTTGCTCAGGGACTAGGCGCAGGTTACCCCAAACCACAGGGACCATCCGTGCAATTTACCCTTTAAAGAATGTAAGATTTTACGCACAACACAGTTTAATTTTTGTTCATTTCATATAGCGTGTTTTCCGTATCATCCCTAATAAATAAAGAACTTTTTGCCACTTATCACATTCTCATTGATTTGACCACATGTCTTTTGTGGTTATTTTCAATTAAAATTTTTCCACATGGCATTTGTGGTTGTTTCATTTTATTAAATATATTAATTGCCAAATTAAAAATAAAGGCACGAGGCAATTCATTTCATTAATTGACTTTTATTTTAATTTCAAAATTTCTAAATAAAGTCCATTAGTAATTTAATAATTTAATATTTTTCTATTTTTTTTATAAATTCAACTTCTCAATATTTGTAATATTATAAATTTTTTAAATGAACTCATGGGTCATACACCTAGTTTTATTATAAGAAAACAAAATATCCTTTCTTTTTTCTTTTCAAATTTGCATCTATATAATAATTAATTCATTGCGTATTTTAATTAAATACCGCATCGTAATTTATATTTAAACTACTTATAATATATTTGCTTCAGCAATCAAGGACACTGCCTATTTTGATTGAAACTTACGCATCAAGAAGTTTTATTATTTTCCTAAACAATAAAATTTAATTAAACAATATTGCTAAAGATTTACGAAATTACCAACTAACACGTATATTATTTTTCCTTGGCCTTGTCAACCGTAATCTCCTTTCACATTACCGACACATAATCGTTCGTTGACCGACGAAACCCATCGTTGGAGCATTCGATAACAAGAGGATATTACGAATCGTATATTAATCGAAATTAAGAAATACGCGTTAATGGATAATTTTTGCAAAAACCTCCTTTCACATTACCGACACATAACAAGAGGATATTACGGATCGGATATTAATCGAAATTAAGAATTACGTGTTAATGGAGAATTTCTGCAAATAACTAATGTGTGGAATATAGCTTAATTGTATAAGAAACAAAATAAATACTTAGATTAAAGTTCATTATTTTGTCACTATTGAAAAATACGTGGTAAAATTCAAAAAAAGAAAAAAAATGTTATGTTGTGGATCAAAGCAACGAGGTTGCTTGTATAGTGATTACATCGCGTTTTTATTTTCGCTTAAAATTTTTTGCATCATATGCTTTAAATCAACAAATATAATGTCAGGCAATCCTCCTAATAGAATGGATTTGGAACGAATCAACCTTACCGTAAAACATTATTAACAAATTTCAAAGAGTCTTATTCTTTAATGGAGCTAGTTATAAATGGAAATGATCATAATAATCCATAGTTCCATACCTAACCCATATAATAAAATGGCTAATGGGCATAGACTCATAAACAAGTAAACGAATAAAAACTAAGATCTAAACTCACATAATTCTTATAGGTTTGGATCTGATTAGGGTTAAACCTGCTACATTCGTAGGTTTATCCGCAAGTAGGTTTATCCGCAAGATTTCTCATTACAAAACACCTATGCACAATAAACAAAGGAATAAACTTGTCAATAAGTAATAAACTTGTTGATTCAAAAAATTGAATTATATCGGCTATTTAGACTCTCAAGAAATACATAAAAACTGATAAGGATGAAAAAAAATATGGTTTAAAAAATCGTTTGCAATTACAAAAAAAAGTTTATAACTATTTTCCAAAATTTATATACAAGCTTTAGCCATCTGCTTTGGTCATACATTTTTATCCATACAACTTTGCAATAAAGTAGTTTTGGTCAAATAGCTACTTTGGTTACACAACGTGTGTCATACAAAAATTTTTTTCATCTTTACATTACGTTTCTTTAAGATCAGACAATTTTTTGCTAAATTAAATTTGAAATTTCTACATTAATCGTTTACTTTTAGGGGAGGTTTTGCACTACAGTCAAAATCGTCCAGACGTTTTTAGCTGTTTTGAGTAAAGCACAAAAATCAAATTTGTAATGAACAAAATTATTCAAATATTAATAAACTTTAAAAATTATATAAATTTTTATCATCACTTTCAGCCAATTTCCCGCTAAACAAACACACGATAGATTATAATTCTCGGGATCAAATCTTCTCATATTTCAATTCCTTTTCTAGATTCCATTACTTTCAAAAATTCCAAAAGATTCATCCAAAGTCGATTCAAACTCGTTTGAGATTTCTTCGATCATCAATACCTCCACTAATTTCTACCAAAATCGTGTTAAAAAGTTTCATATATCTTTGAAAAAAAAAACACAATTCATACACATTCATTCATCATTCAATCTATCTTCTCAACAAGTACTCAACTTGTACTTCTTTTGTCAATGGCATAATCCAATCCCCATAAAGATCCGCAACCAAAGTGGGTTCTATTTTATACACAGGCTCAATCGCATCTTCCCCAAACCCAACAGTCACCACTTGCCCAAAAGTCTTGGCTTTTGTTTCCACCCGTTTCTTGATTGCTTCTTCCATAGCCGGATACCTCAATAATCCATCAGTTTTTCTTATCCTGCATCTCGAAAATTACCATTATACCCTTGTGAAACCAAAAATAATAACGAATACATTAGGATTGATTCTCACTTGCGCTTTAATCGCAGCTTCATAATCAGAAGGTGAAGCTCGGAATTTTGCTTCCGCTAACGAATTTACCATAGTGAATTCGTTTAGACAGGGCGGGCCTGCATATTAACACGAAGTAAAGATTGTTTTTTTACTAATTTGCCCTCCGTTTTCTGAAATAATTTTTTAAAAATTAAAATTCATACCTGCAAGCAGGTGGAGTCACAGGTTGCTGCTGATCCACAATTACCATCATTTCCTTCCTTTACAAGTCTAGGGAGAAGATCTTTGAAGTATATATCCCATATTTTGAGGTTAATATTAATATCTTGAGCACAAGGATGCAACACCTATATTTATTATATCAATAAAAAAACTGATATAAACCCAATAAAACCAATAAAAGAACTCATTTTTCTAACTATCTATCTACCTGTGGGTATTCCAATGGGGGCAACATAGGTCAGGTAGTCTTTTGGGAAAAACGGGTGTTCATCAGGGCTCTTGTATCTTCCAACCTGTTATAAAAAGGGTGAAAAGTCGTTATCTTTTATGATGAAATCATCAATTTTTGTCATAGAATGTGAAATTGTGGATTTGAATTTGAATTACCTGAGCATGGACTTTTTCGGTTTCTTTGACCATGAACTCAACTAAAGAACCTTTGAAGCCATCCATGAAGAAAGCATTAGGGTCATATGTATCCTCATTGTAGCAAAATTGAGCTCTTTCTACAAGGCTAAATATAATGCTATCTTCTTGTCGAATTAAAGAACTTCTTATACCATCAAGAGTATAGATTTCACTCTCGTCTACTCGTGTCTCATTCTTTGATCTATAAGGAACAAATGAACATATGTGACATTGTTCTCTGAAAGTATTGGAATGTGAACAAACTGGGATCGGAAAGAACCCTAAAAATTATATGTCAAAATTACAATTAAAGAGTTCGAATCGATAAAATTCCGAGAATTCGAAGACGATGTGAAGATAACTTACCCAAATGAAGTCGCAGATGCTTGAACGGATTGAACGCCATTCTTCGAAACCCCTGAATTGGATATCTGTAAGTTCCAGTTCTTCTACATTGGAGGACGAAATGGAGTGATCGATCTACAAGATTTAGACAAGAAGTAGCGGAGATGGCAGGAGAAAAGGGATTCTGAGCAGCGTAGCCTCCATGGAAAAGAAACAATGAAGAAGTGGATCACATATAAAGAAAACACAGGGGTTGGTGGCTTGGTGTGTAGAAGTGGCACTGTGGCAGTGCCCAAATCGGATGGGATCGAGCAAACAAGTCAAAACCGGGTCGATTCCAAACCGGTTTAAACCGAACATAACTCAAGCGTATAGCGGTATAGAAATCGGATCGAATTGACACTGGTTTAGGGGAAACCGGTTCGGAAAAAACAGGCAAAATTGAAATATTTTCACCCTGTTTTTGTTGTTTGTAATTGTTCTTCTCGGTAATGACAGCCATTTAGAGGTGTTTTGGATTTCATTTTGAAGTTAAAAGAGACTTTTATGTAAAGGACTTATTGACTTATTAATGTGGGACAAGAAGATTTTTAAAAAGTGTTTGGTTTAGCTTTTTAGTGACAAAAGTCAATAAGTTAATAAGTTAAAAAGTGTTTGGCTAACTTATTGACTTTTGCTCGTTTTTATTCTAATAAGTTATAAGTCATTCCAAAAAGTCATAAATTGTAACTTCTTCAAAACTCCTTTGCAAAGGCTAAACCAAAAGTTATTTTTATCCAAACACTTTTTTTAACTTATTGATTTTTCAAAAAAGTCAATAAGTTTAAAAGGAGATTTTTATGAAATCCCAAACACCCTCTTAATTTCCGAAGCGAATTTGTAATTTTTGTATGGTTTTTGTATTTGGCCCAAGGAGACATCAAAAATAAAGAATTAATGTGGCAGTGAGTAAACTCTGAAAGCATTACTACAGAAGGCATAAGGCATTTTTCATTGTGTTTTTTTCATAAAAATATAAAACATTACAATAATACCTATTCAAACATAAAAACATTAAACATAATCGTTTTTGTTTTAATTAATCATCCTTTTTGTTGTTTGGATTTAGTCATCCTCCTTCATGTCGCTTAATTTGATTCATATGCAAGTTCTTATAAGGTAAATGGTACCTATATTCTCATTACCATTTCTTGTTCAACCCTCAACAACTCGTCTTTTAGTGGTGAATATTTTATATTCGTTCAATGCCATCTAAGTAGTCTTTCATCAAGCATATGCTTACTTCCACTGACAAAGAGGTAAGTTTTGTTCTTCTAGGTTATATAAACCCGGCCACTAATAGAAAAAACAAATTCCAAAGCAATTGGAAGTTTTGAATGGTTGTACATCACGGACCATAGCGGCTAGAATCGGAAATTGGGATTTCGTATTTTTTCCACACGGACAAATATCAAAATTCTCAAACTTTATATACTTATATGTGCCAAAAAGTCAGATCCATATACCTTTCAAGCTGACTACTAGGAGTGCTAGACCGAGCTCGTTTGATATTTTTTTTTTTGAAAGTATTATAGAGTCGAATTGTTTAGCTATTATCATGAAAAGTCGATCCAAATGTTCCTAAATTTCGCATCATGTCGTGAATGGTTGTTGAACCGTATTTTGCTAAATAAACATCAAACAAATTTTGAAAAACTTTGTTAAATTGTGATATTTCTTTTGAAGCATAATCTTAATATTTTTCTAATAAACTCAAATCATAAGAATAAGAAATGTTATAAATCAACTCCGCCAACATTTAGAGTCGTGTTCAAAACGCTGGCACAATTTATAACCAGAGGCATACTTTTGAAATATTTTATAACTTGCATTTCATTGGTTTCACCATTTTCAAATATCACCCCTCATTTCAATCTCGTTTATTTTCGAACACATTAAAAGTATTCGATTTAAAGTTAAACAACTTGGAGGATAATAATTCGTGACACAAAAGTAATTGCATTTTTTAAAAACTCTAAGCATTTTTGGAAACAATTAGTTTGAGAGTATGTCAACTTGATTTCGAATAAGGCATAACTCGATTACGTTCCACAAGGTTGTCATAAAACATTTTAAAGTATCTTTATGACGTAAACCGCATTCAAACATGTTACAAGTGGAGTTCCATCGAGTAGATACATCCAATTCGGACCTAAGAAAAGGCATTCACATCAACACAAAACTTAATATATTTATGATATTAAGCGTTAATATAAATAAAAATATCATGAAGCATTTGGTTGACAGTTGTTTTACACCTTTAAAGCATTTGCTTGAGAGTTTTTTTACACCTTCAATGTTGTTATTGAATGCATTATCAAATGATATAGAAAAAACTTTGTCTTGTAGTTTATAAGTTTTGATCACATAATTTATGATTTTTATAAATTTCCGAGGGTAAAATACATGAATCGTCCCTCGTGCAGTGTCAAAAAGCATGTTTAATCCCTATTTTCAAAAATTAACTCGGATCGTCCCTCATGTCCATTAAAAGTTGCACACTTCATCCTACGGACATAAAAAGATTATTGCCCTTAATAATTTCTTTTTAATTTACTTTTGTTTATTTATCATTTCTAGATTAAAAAATCTTAAAATATTTTTAAAGTTTATAAAAGTTCATTTTCTTCTATAATTTCTTTTTACCCCAGCTCGAACGACACCACGAGACGTTGCTCTCAGTTTCATTTTCTTTGTGTTGGTGCTTTGATCATCGTCTTTTCTAATTTAACATACACCTTCCAGGAAAATCAGTTTCTCTAAAGTCTAAACATCAATATTTCTCACAATTCACTCTATTATTGCTTTATCATCAAGATTGACGGAGAAACCCTAATTTTGGTTGCTCACTTTGGGAAATTCGATTATTCCTTCAGTTACTCTGTGAACTTTGGCGTATATAATGTGATATATAGTTTGAGATATGATACTGATTGAATGAAGAGTTTCAAAGCTCTTGATATGAAAGAAGAGTCTTGTCACACCCCCATACCAGAACGGCGGAAACGTTCGGGGGCGGAGAACGTCATGTAAGTATCACAACACATGCATTATAGTAATCAAAGTACAAACACCATTTCATTAATAAGTATAAGTTTTAACATAAGTGTTTAAACATTACATATTCAAACATCAAGGTAGATACAATAGAAGGCATAAGATGCAGTACGGTACTAGGCAGTCTTCTCAAAAGTTCGGGAGTGTACCTGACTACTGGATTCCTGAGAATACAAGTTATTTTGAAAAAGTAGATCAACATTTAAGTTGGTGAGTTCATAAGTATTTTAGTTATATAAAGTATAACTACTAAGTTCTTGGAAAATTTGTTGGGTTCCTCCAGAAAATTCTATATTTTCTGACGTGATAAAATGATAACCATAATAGTTCCCTCTACAATTACTTAGTTTATACTAGTTATATATAACCTAATATCGAACGGACAGCTAAATGTGTGAATCTGCCTAAAGCCCACAACCAAACAAGGAACAGGAAGTAAGGCGGAAGTCACACATTCCACTGCCAATCGAATATACTTATATATAACTCTGATGTATAAACTAAGGAATTATAGATTAACATTAAAGTCCTTTATGCTATACTAGTTTTGAGAAAGTGACTGATTACGTTCTAGAAAATTCTATATTTTCTGCTTTACAACTGATAAGTAGTTTTAATCCCATAAACCATTCTAGTAAGTAGTTTAAATCCCCATAAAACCGTTCTTTAAGTAGTTTTAATCCCTAAAACCATTCTGTAAAGTAGTTTTAAATCCCCATAAAAACCGATCCGTTTTGTTTATGGAAAGTGATTAATACAATAGTATTCTTAAAAATAAAACTACTGAAGAATAATTACCCTAATATTAACCTGGTTATTAGGGTTTAAAATGTGATAAAGTTGTAACCATACTGGACTAGAATGACATAACGACCTACTGGTGTGAACTGAATATGTGACATTTGTCCACCACATGGCTGGTCTGACGGACTGTATAGCAGTCGGGATGTGGGATTGTCAGTCCCGGATAGATCTATAACACCACATCCCCTCTCCCTCCAACAGACTCTGGTTACAAGAATGTAGCATAGCAAGTATTGCTAGGTCTGATACATACCATCCACAATTTTAGTTTGATTAAAGATCGAAGTATATCCTTTTCTTGAAAAATAATTTAGACCTCGTATACTTATCTATCAAAATAGATTTCTCGTTTGTTTCATAAATTACCTATTATAATTTATACGTTCTATCTGATTAGCATGATCTCTCCTGAATGTACCCCTTTTGCTCAACATGATACAAAGGTAATGATACTGACTGAAGTAATCTTTTATATCCCATATGTTATAATGTATATAATTAAGAAGGAAACGGCCTTCGGACAAATAACCCCACCTTAATCCTACATCCAAACACAGGAAAAGAAATAAGGCAACTCATTAGTCCTAAGCCCTTTAAGTCTTATTTACAATACTTATACATATATGAACTCATTTTGACAATTATAAGATAAAAGAGTTATAAATACATGTCAAGAGTTTAAAGGTATCTTTAAAGAGTTTTGTGATTTTAAAAGAGTTCACATAACTTTAAGTCATTATGGAGTATTGGGTAATCCTTTATTTAAAAATAAAGATTCTAAGCAAAAGGAATATTTTATGTGATTGATATCACAAGTATTCTAACCAATTAGATTTGTGTTCAACTTGTATTCCCCCCCCCCCCCCCTAAAAAGCATTTAAAATCATTTAAAAGGTAGATTATAGGGGTATGAACTCACCTGATGTGAGTGGATCGGATGAAAGTTTTAATATAGGATGCTAAGTATGCCAAATGAAGTCCCGAGCACAAAGGATCCTATTTAACATATAATAACAATATATGTATGGATTAGGCCTATAACAACTAATAAGTATGGTAACCAACCTTAGGAACTAAGAACACTTACAAAGAAGTGTTAGATCAAAGTTAGGAGGTTTGAATGGTGTTCACGGCCACACCATGAGTGTTCACGGCCTTGGGATGGTTCACGGTCCAAGAACACATAATGTTCACGGCCCTAACTTGGATCTAAGAAGGGTTCACGACCCTGATGAAGGGTTCACGGGCCAAGAGTGGTTGACGTCCATGAACACCTTGAAGATCTTGAAGATGAGGATGAAAAGTGATGAATCATTGTTAGGATCAAAGGGTGTGACATCCCAATTTCACGGCCAGAAAAGACCGATTTTGTTATGCTTTGATTTATAAAAATCAAGTAATCCTTTGATTAAAAGAGTTGCGGAATTTGTTCCCAAAACAAAATTGATAAAATCTATCAAAACGTTTCTTGAAGAAGTGTTATTTTCATTCAATAACAAAATCTCCGGGATTCATGTTCCGATACAGACCAAAAGCATAAACAGTATAAAATAGACCTTACAACAGTTAGTTATAACTACTGATCTATAATCCAAAATCTCT